CCGCGAAACGGGAGGCTGTTCGCCGTCGTGTCGAAGAGGAGCGACTGGCTGAGCAAGAGGCCTCACTGAAGGAAGCACAGGTGAGCACTGGTCGGTAACGTTACTTTAGCGTTGACTGAATGCAGATACGGTCTAATATTGTGGACGAGGAGAAGGGACGACTGCTGGACCTTGCCAGGCAGAGTGAGAAGGCGGCTGAGGCAATAGAGCAGTTGCACAAATGGAGGCTGCAGCGGTGGGTATCGTTGATCATTATTCAATGGGGATCCACTAGCATGGTTCTTTCCTGTAGGATACGAAAGTCGAAAGGCATCTACAAAGGGTTGTATCATGATGATATGGAACTTCAGATTGAAGAGTTGTGTCGACGACCAGATCGACAGCTCATACAGGTGAGTGAGAATAATAAGATAAGTCTCGCTGTTCTGCTCTAGATGGGCTACGGTGCTGCAATCGATCCGCTTGTGGTTCGTGCTAAGAATATTCAGCGTGAGTTCTTCTACCCGCCACAGTTGCGCACGGGAGTTGCTGGTGAGCTGCAGTTCCATCAAGCTTTTTGTCGTATCATGTGTTAACATGGTATGGACCTCTCTCAGGTTCCGAAGTGTCTGATGCTGACTGTCCTCTGACTCCATCTTATGAAAGAGTGTGGGGTCCGACAGGCAGCCACAAGCCTCTGCCTGATCACTCTGATCGGGAGGTGGCCATATCAATACTCGAACGCATCTACTCCACCCTGAGCTCCCCTGAAGTGGCGGATGATGGAATGGTCAATGCGGCGATGCAGAAGGCCGGGGACGGTATCAAGGCGGCTCTGGATTGGTCTTGGCTGCCAGAAAAGAAAGTCGTGGATACCACGCAATCTCACGTGGTCTATGAGGACATACCAAACCGTCCTCTGGATGATAACAGAGTTAGAGGACGAAGCAGGCGGCTCGTCGAAGAGATCATGTCCACTCTCTATCCGCTGGGCATCATCAGCAGTGGTAGCGCCAGTCCAGTGAGTATTCGGTCACCCATGAAGGGGAGCACTGAGGTGAGACTGCACCTACTTCATTCGATGTTCACAGTGCCACAAGAAGGTGCCAACACAAGAGAGCTATTTTGTGGACCCTTGGCCGGCCCAGGAGACCCCGGCCGAGCATGATTCAACAAGACCGATAGCTACAGACCTCATGAAGCAGTTGGGCTGTGGTGGTAGACTGCGAAGGTCGAGTATAGGGGGCCAGGTAGGTGTCACTCAGAGCTTCCGTGATGGTTGTAATCGGTTGAATCAGATGCACACTAAAGATGAAGAGGAGAGGAGGAAGTTGCTGATGAGGTTTGACGAGCTTAATTCAAAATAACAATTATTGTCCATGTTTCATCCAAAACTTCTGATTATATCGCGTTCCATTGTTACCAATGACACAAGCATTTGTCAGCCACTTTAGCTTAGTGGTAGAGCGTCTGCTTCGTAAGCAGAAGGTCGTCAGTTCAATCCTGGCAAGTGGCTTGATTTTCGTCGGTCGTCAGAGTTGACGAACGACGGTATAGTTGCTTACCTCAGGTGAGTCCTCGGGCAACTCAGTACACTCCTCCTTGAGAGCGAGGCTTGTTGGCGTACAATGTCGAGCAGTTGAAGGAGAGTACATGAAAATCCAACAGCAAGCTAGAAAGGAATAAGGAGCCGGCGTTATCGTCCCGGAGACCAGTCTTGTTATTGCACTCCATTCATACTGATAATCGTGGAGTCATTCGTGTTGTATGCCATCCAATCAGCAAGTGGGTCAGCTCAACACAGAGTTTCCCTGCATTGTCGCGTCGCTCAGACTCGTGCGGAGAGCGAACATCCATCTGGCTCGACGTGATAAACTCGATCACAGAATACGCACTAGGGCCCATCGTAAATGCCGAAGATGTAGGATGCGAAGAGCCCATAAAAAGAGAGGCTTCTGATGGAAGCCTTCCGTATATGCTCGTCCATTGTCTCACCGAGCGATAATGTAGGCATCGTACGTCCGGCCGGGCCTCAAGCTAACAGTCCCCGGCCTTGGTGTGAAGAGCTCATGATCAGCGTCATCTTTACCACAGACAGTATGACAATGCCGTTGTTCGTATGTGGTGACGTGTTGGATTCCTTTCTTCGAACAGTTCCCACTAGGAATGCTCCACAGCGTTGTGTATTGATGCCCCCTGTCACCGAGGACAATGCATCGCCGACCCATGGGGTAACCTTCCTCACAGATCTGCCCGAATCTTTCCAGCCCACTAAGAAAGCGGCCCCAAGCATTCTCGCTCTGCTCAAGCGGGAGGGGCCATCGTCGGTGAAGGGCAAAGATGTAAAGTTCCTCGAGAAGATCCACTTCGCGCCTCCTGCGGCCTCTGCCGACTACTACGACTCCTTCCCGATGAGCCCTGGTGTGGACTATCTGGGATCTCTCGTCCAGTTCAGAAGCTTCGAACGCATGCAAATGATGCTCGCCAATCTGCGCGTTCGGTGGCCCAAAACCTGGTGCTTCTGTGGACTGGACACGTACTTGTTCAACAGCGTCACCTCCAGGAAGAAGGGAATCACTGTGAAGTGAGCGCGCAGTATGAGAGATTCCTCTCGAGGACGGATCTGGCCAGATACGATTTCGATCGAGAAGAAGAAGCACTCCGAATCTCCAAGCTTGAGGAAGCGTCCGATGGAAACATTCCCGCGTTCGTTTTCAAGCAGCGTTCCTATGGTGCGAACAGCCATCTCAAACGTACTTCTACTACGGCACTAACCGTCACAAATGCCCTTGTGAGGCTACAGGAAGCCGGGGGTGGCCAGTCCACCCAAATCCTACAGAAGTTCATCAGAGGCCCAGGAGAACAGGCATGCATAACGAGAGTCTGCTATCGATGCAAATATCCGAGGAAGCCTGTGGGCTACTCCATTGCGAACGGCTACTCCCCTTCTGAACTCGAGGCAACGAGTGGCAAGGCTCACGGTGACTTGACACAACAATACTGCGCATCGACCGACACGTCCGTCCCTGGTGGCCTCGTTGTAGCCAAACGAAGCAGTGGGAAGGCTCTCGAGGATGCAGCCGAAGTGGCTGAGAGAATGCTCAAGTTTTCCGAGAACTACTTCATGCTAAAGCTAGAGTGGATAGTCGTGGACGTCCTCACAGATAAGAAGGGCAAGCCGTGGTGTTTGCAGGTGTGTCGGTCTGCGTACTCGCTACGTGAGTATCGTCTCAGGTCAAGTCGTTCAGAGTGGCTACTGTCTGTCAGCCTCCTAAACGGTCACTGTCCCTTCCCAAGCCGGACAGTTCTACTGGACAACTACAGCTAGCCTTGATCAGACAAGATTCAGATGAGTTTGGAGAGGAAGGACGTGGTGGCAAAGCAGCCGAGCTCGAGAGGCGCCGAGCTGAAGCCTTGGGGGCCTCTGCTAAGGCGAAGCCTCTTTGTATCCTCTGCCACTGCATCATGAGCACTCATCACCGTACCATGACCGGCAGGATGCTCCTGTGGCTGTGGCATTCCCTTCGTATTCGGAAAGTCCAAGTCTACCCGCCTCTACAGAGCAGCGTCATGGCATCGATAAGCCACTTGACGAACGGCCATAGAGTGTGTCAGCTGTGCTGGTCTGTGTACTTAGCCGAGAAGGAGCTGTGGAAAGTCCACCGAGCCATAGCTCGCATCGTCACGAACAAGGAAGCTCCGGGGGACAAAGAAGGGGACGACAACTTTGATTTTACTGGTCTGTTGGACGATCTACCCCTGGTCGGAAATATCAGGGCTCACCACAAGAGCTCATGTCAGCGGCACGCCCGACAGCCATCGCAGACGAAGTTGCTTGCCATTAAGGATGCGACATCAGTTGTTCCCGAAGGGCCCACTGGTCTTGCAGGGTCAGCGATCAAAGGCACTCAGGTCGGGGATGAAGGCTTGCAGTCACCTCGACCAGAGTACCTACACCAATGGCGACTCATGATCCTACTGTGGTCACTGGAGGGGTTGCCATACTCGACCAACAGGACGCTTGAGTACGAAGTCCTTGGCATGTGTAGACGATTCTCCCTGCGAAATGTCGATGAGCATGTGCTACCCATCGGCCGAATCGCCCTGCATTATCTATTCTCTTCCACTACTCGGCTGAATCTAGCCGATTCCTACGTCGAGTTCTTGGTCACCGCCGGAGGCTCCCTTTATCATGGGCGCTGCTCTATAGGCCACTTGCCGGGGCTCACCAAACGGACGATACATGTGATGCTGTCGGCCAGGGGGGCTCCTCGGTCCCTTACGCTGAAGGTCACGCTTGGCATTGTACAGGACAGCACAATACATCGCGACTACTGTGACGTTCAGAGGAAACTCGATGGGATCTTTATTGTAGCCCCTGGTAGATTCTACAGCAGTCACCACCCCCTCCCAGGGCCATGGGTAGAGACCCTGCGGGAGTGCACGGCGAAATGCTCAACGGGGAATGGCAGTGAAGCGACTTCGGCAACTTTTAGTGGTGTTGAAGACATACACGTCGAGATGGACGCTGTGAAGCCCGCCGGGGCATCAGCGGGCCCAGCAGCCTCTCGGCCGACGACTAGTGGTCGGAGCACCAGACCACCGTCAGCTGCACACCTCCTCGACAGTGACAGAAAGAGTATTGCCCGTGTGCTTCCTCCGAGCAGATTGCTGTCCAGGCGATCCGACTCTCTCGGCTCTCTAAACAGATGTGGGAGTGGGTATAGAAAACGCGCTAATTCAGCGACAGAAATGCATGTTGCACAAGGACTGGCCACTCAAAAGTTGGTGGCCCTAGAGGAAGCAAGAATGAGGGTACATCTGCAGAAGCTCCGGAGGAGACTGGGCCCGAGTTCGGTGAGTGCGAAGATCGCTGATTGATCACGACTTATTTTTCAAGGTCAAAATGGAGCGCGCCCGTTCCGCTTTTGCAAGGACGCGACTCGACAGACAGAAGAGTCGTGACTGTTCGGCTGAGAGGCGGCTCCATAGAGCGGCTAGTCCAACCGTCCTCTCACACGTATGGTCGCAGGTGGTTCGCATTTGTGTTTGATACTTTGCTCAAGGTATTCCACCTAGCCCAACCCGAAGGATCCATAGGGATGCCAAGCATTCCCGTCGCGGTTTTGAGACGATCACTAGTAGGGCCGAGTCAGAATATATTTGGGCTGATCGCCCATCCGCGCTGTATCTATTCATGGTCCGACCATGAATAGATACAGCGCGGATGACACGACCATGATGGTCGTGTCTGGAGATTGTGGACTTTCACATTTCGCTCTACACTTTCACCTATCGCCTTTCAGGAAGGATCGAAGAGTAGCCAAATCCGGAGACGCCCAATGTCAGCATTGCAGCATTAGTAGGAGTCCTATATCAGTACTCATTTTGGCATGCAGTGTGCAGCGGACATTCCCCACTGAATGTTGTAACAATTACTATGCGTATGCGACGCTGTAGAGTTCAGTAACTTGCATGTGCATGTGCCAAAACGTAGTGGCACCTCCGAGATAGGAAAAGACGAGCTACGACGCAAACATGTGCAAGTGACATGTGCGTTGCATTCATTAACGGCAATGTGCTCTTCTGAGTACTTTCCGTGCAAGGTGACCATCTGTAGGTGTCTCCACACAGTTATTTTGCTAAGGATTCGTACTGCGAACTTTCAGCAAGAGCGGACTGGCAATTCTGACTAATCATCCTTAGCAATTATCATGCGAACTTCGCAGATGGCATGAACGTCATGCATGTGATTGATCTCAAGTCCCTCTTTGGCACGCTGAATGTGATGATCAAATATTCTACTTTCTAGTGGAAATCATAACTATCCCATTCTTCTCTAGTAAAAATGACTAAAGCAATACTGACATACTCAACAGGTAGATTGCCGAAAAGCTCTAGTCTTCATCGTCCAGTTCTTGTAAAGTCTTGCCAACGTCGCTATTTTGCGGCAAGTCTAACCACCCTGGTCGCGAAGGTAAAGGTGAATGGGGTTGCCCTTCGATAAGCGCTATGCACGTCACGCCCATCGGCCGTGCCTTGGGAGCTCGATACTCACGAAGGGGTCTATCAACTCCATTCTGAAAACAGCCGGATGATCTAAGGAGCAACCGAACTGAGCAGCCTCACCCTAGACTGCTGCTGCCCAGTAGTGCTGAGGTCCCATAAACGCACAACACCATCAGTGCAGGCAGTGTAGAAAGACCTCCGATCAGCTCCGAAGGCACAGTCCCACACCCATCGTGGATGACCATCGAAACCACACTGTCTTGAAAACCCATCACTAACCGCACAAGGCATCAATTATCAACGACGAACTCATCGAGACTTACCTATGCGACTGCCATATCTGTGCTGTGCCATCACTACTGCAGGTGGCCAGCAAGCGGGCCGGTCCCGGTGCGAATCGAACCTACAACAGTTACCCTGATATGCCTCGAAGAGCTTCCTGCACCTACTTTCAATACGTAGGCGTCATGTGCATCCAAAACATTGAGGGGGACCCAGCTGCTCGAGTCCGCATCCTCTGCGATGGAATTCTCAAACTCGGAAAGTCGATCCTAC